ATCGACCTTGGATGAATCGTATGAATCGATTTTCCTTTCATACAAGTCTAAAGGTACTTGAAATCAAGTTTTTTAACGCTTGTTTCCCCCTTTTTGGGGGATTGTCCTTGCTGGGTGTCTCGATCTCGATGAATTGCAAGGTATGTGGAAAATTATTTTTATCTGGACGCGGAGAGTTGGCGAAATTATTTTTTAATTCATCCGTGATAATTTTCAGATACTATCGATCAAATATTATATATATATATATATATGTATTGATTTATTTTCCAAGAAAGAAAACACGGATTAAAGATTAATAATTTTAATTAATAATTTTCAAGATAGAAACGAAAAATAAAAGTTAACAGGTAAGAGATATTTAAAAATGTTTATGTAACGAGATATAAATTTATTACTTATACGAAAAAGAGATATTTAATTTAATCGAAGATCTGTTATTGTTAAAACATTGTCGAGGAGAATTTTAGCATCGATCCGTTTTCACGCTTCTTATTTTAAAATTATTTTCGAATATTTACGCCTTCAAATATATCCGTAACGAATTTATATAGAAATTTCATTGTTGATTAACCTGTTTTAAATTGGCCTTAACGTACGATCTTCCGTATAATAAACAAAAGATAGTTTCTTGCGAAGTAAAGGAGAGTTCGAATAGAAGCCTTAATCGACTAAACGAATTTCTGACACGAACTAACTGCCATTGACGCTTACTAAGTACCGAGAACGAAGATTTTGGATATGTATATAATACAGTATTTAATGAGGCGATAAGTTGACTTCAGTTCCTTACTTACCAAACGAAGTAAGTCAAACTTGGCCCGAGAGCTGTGAAATCGGAGGAGAGCGCGCTCGACGATGAATAATACCTTTGGAAAATCCACCCGTGGCGGGTTTATCGTTGGATCTAATCAAATTTAATGATTTGCAATGGAGAAACGAGGGTTTTATTATCAAAGATATACGTATGTATCCGATGAAAACAATAGCGAGAATTAATCTGTAATGATCACGTCACGAAATGGATTTGGAAAAGAATCGACATTAAAAGCTTTGTTTAAACGATATGATGTATGATTATATACGGAATAAATTTCAAATTCGAAACGATAATTGAAGAAGAATAATTGCGAATTTCTAATTATTGAATTGATAAGCTGGTTTATCACTCGGCTGCCAACCAAACGTTCTGTCGGCAATTGCAACGATGCTTAGGAAATTCCAAGACGATTACAGTGGCGCTCATGTGAAAACGCTCGCGCATTACCACTGTGCATAACAATCCAACGTACGATGAACAAGCAACTGCAATCAAAGATAGAAGGAACAAAGCTAAACGCGGCTACGGTCTTGCACTGATGAATACCGAACCGATTAAATTTAATTGCAAGAGAGAAATTCATCGAGGCGAGCCTGTCTGCTCTATCGTTACAACATTTTTATAATAAACGAAAAATATATATATATATATATCTTTTCACGTTGAAACGAATTATACGAACGCGAGAATGACGCCAGTTACGAATTCGTTGCACGTATATTTTTTCACATATAATACATTAATTCATAAGATAAGGTGATTTCATCGTGATTTTCGTTTAACATTGTATATTAAAAAAATTACTCGAAATGAAAGAAAATTAATTGAAGGAAAGTGTAATAAATATCACGTCGTCGTAATAATTTAATTAATTATATATAAAATATGACAATGAGAATGAAATTGAATCGGCGAAAGTTGAAAAAGATCGGAATGAAATTGCCAACCGATCTATCTTGTTTTAAATTTATTCTACTTTTACTTCGAAAACATTTTTATCATGTTTGATTTCTCGGCTATGAATCAGAGATAAGATTGGCATTTGTGAAACGCTAATCTGGATCTACACTCAACTCGTACACATCTAAGAACGAACGCACACCTTGATAACCGAGTTGATCATCGATCCTAACGCGCGGATCGATAATACGAAAATTTAAATATTTGCTCGAACGATTCTCAAATTTTTATTCTAAAACAAACACTTCGAATACGAATAAAAAGAAAATGAAAAAATGATTTATACCTACGATCAAATAATAACTAACTAAATTAAAAATCGGATGAATCGAATAATTAGAAAAAAAATTGGAGAAAAAAAAAAAAACGAAAGAAATCAGAAAAGGAAAAATTTACCCAGCAGACCAATAACTGTGTGCACAACAGTCGTCACCATCAATGATCCATGAAATCCCGTGATACGAGCATACTATAAAAATCGAACGGTGGAAATCGAACGTTTACGTTGCATGCACACAGGCATGAAACATTTAATAGACCGATAAATAGATAATAGCACGGTGGACCCATTCATAAAGCATGGAAATGAGCGTGGCTCCGGAAACTCGATGAATACGCGATCGATGAACAAAGCGGTCGTGTTGGGGAGGGATCGTCGTGAAAAATTTGAAGCGGATTGTGCATGGATCGTCGTACGTTATCAAGAGAATTCGTTTCGATGGGATATGACAATTTAAAACCCGCCGTTTCGCGGAACAAACCATTTGAAACTGTGGCGCGTTTTCGCCAATTGAAAATACGTGAACGATGGATTTTTCCGCGTTGAAAGGGGTCGATTATTTTTGTTTAAAAATTGCTTTCCGATGAAATTCCATGCAAATTATTATTCTCTCTTTTAAGAAATATCGCGCAACGATTTGTATTTCGACTTATATTCTTGGAAATGTTAAATGTTAAATGTATTAATGTCCAAATTCTATTATCTGTATAATTAAACTTTATGATGGTATTGATTTTTTTTATTACGAAACCAAAAAAAATTTCATACAATATCTATATTTTTCAAAAAGAATCATTAATTTGGATTATTCGTTCATTTACATATTTAAATAACACATATTACATTCCTTTGTAATTTTACATATTCATCGAATTTCAAATTAATCGATGCAAAATTAATGCATGCATTAAAAAGAATTACAATCGAATAGTGTGAACAATACCAATGTTCAAAAATAAAATTCTACGCGATCAAAATAATCGCCATTGGAATTTTTTAAACAAAATAAATCTATCCCGGTATTAACACACCGCTAAAAAAAAAATTACCATTTCTCTATTTCAGAATTTCGTATTTTTCAAACGCTTGCGCTTCCATCGCTAGTTTTTCAAAAATTGAGCACAATTCGTATTTTTCACAACGGCCTAATACCGAAGAATTACCTAATACCGATTCAATTCGATTCCAATCTTTCGAAAAAAAAAAAAAAAAAAGAAAAAAAATAACTTCACCCGCGTTAAAACGTTGGAACGCGAGGAAAATTATGCGCCGAAGTGCGGACGGATCGATCTCGATCCACCGTACAAACTCTCTCGAAACAAAAACAATGGACGAATTTCACGCAAATTACAACGAGTTATATCGCAGAGAGCTCGCTCCATTCTTTTCAACGTTTCTTTTCAAATTTACGACCTTGGTGGAAAACTCGTGGAAACTTCGTTTCCAATATTCTCGCGGCCGTTTAACAGATCGAACGACGTGCTAATTTTATCTCTCGATTTTTCAACGATTTCATTTCTTTCCTTTTTTATTGCCCCCCTCCCTCTTTTTTTATTTCGAGTGTCCAAACCTAAATTGCGAGCTCGAGGCGGGTCGGTCGGCGGTGATTTACCCCTGCGTGGGGCAGTTTCGTTTGTCCGACCACGGGAAACGCTATTAATCGAAATATCCGTGGATGCGCATACTGTATTCTCATTTATACGCAAATGTAACCAACACGTATGTACAACGGGATAAAGGGGAATCCGTTGGAAATTTAGTTGGAAAATGGGAAGAAAAGTTGGGAACGGAATGCTCGCGTTTGAGAATATCTCTAAACGTTTATCCTTTGAATGCTGTTTAACGCGTGTTTCAAAAATAGTTTGCACTTTTAATTGTGTAATTGTTATGAATCGTATAGTCTTTTCGATCATATTTTCGAATCGTTTCTTCGACGTAACGAAATTTTGGATCACAAGTGATTGGATCACATTTGGAAGATAAAAGATATTACATATTATTGTTCAATTTTCTTTTCGTCTATGTATTTATTATACACGTATTTTAATTAGTAATTATAATAATTCGTGCCATTTTTGGGACTTTTTTTTTTATTTTGGTGTGATATTAAATATTTTTGTATAGAAATGAGATAAACTTGAAGGTATTCGACGCATTTAATCGATATATCTCAATGTGTTATTCAACACGAATTTCTGATAGAGTGGAGTGAACTATTTTAAACATCTCTTTGGCAAATTGCCCGTTTAATACTGACCACTGAATTCTATATGCACTTTTGCGTTATTGGCTACGGGCTAAATGCTTAAAAGATTAATAATAAAATAAGAGATCGATAAACTTGAGTTTAATTCACGAAATATTAAGAAGATAAACGAAACTTTAATAATCCTGAGAAATTATATTTTGGAAGAATCGTGTTTTTTACATTCTGCAAAAATTTTAACTCAGATGATAATGATTCTTTTGATATTAAAAGAAATGAAATAATGAAAAATTCTTGAGAGAATACTCAGAAATATATTATGCAGGAATGATGAAGCTTTGCTGCTTAAAATTCAAGTTGCTTTGAATATTTGAAAAGCTTTGTACATTCAAAACTCATTTCGTTTATTTCGTAAACGTGGATTTCAATTTGGAAAAGCAAATTGCTATAAAAATCTAAATTTCGTAAATATTATCAATTTCCTAGTTTCTATAAAAAAAATTCTATCAAAAGTAAATATTTAATTTCAATAAAATCAATTAACAAAAATGCTCTGTTTCTTCTTGTTTCTTATTATTTTAAATTAAATATACTTTTGAAGAATAATATATATCGCTGTCCACAAGATATTAAATTAAATACTCGTATTATTTATATATCTTGTTTATCTTTGTCAAATAAGATAAAGATAAAATTCTACATGAATGAACTATTTACACAGTTATAAAACTGTATTAACCATAGAAGCTTATTCTTGATTGATGGTACATGAAAAACAATATTTGATGACTAACAAAGCTTACGTAATTTTGAAACGCGTAGTCTACTATCTAAAGAACGATAATCATACAACTATCGTTATTTTTTTAAATACAGTTAGTGACGATAATTTATTAATTTAATTTTCACGATCTAAAAAAAAACGTTTTTAATTCCTCTTTTCCATCATAATCAATGATAAGATAAAAATCTTTTTTTTAGGATCAAAGAAAATAATAATTAATAAATATTAACAAATTAAGAGAAAATAAATGTGTCTATGATTAATAATGATTAATAATAATTCTTCCTAATTAAAAATCAAAAATATTAGTAAAATATTATTCAATATTTTACTTTAAAAAAAAATATTCTTCTTCTTTCAGCCAACATTGTCGACAATTTACTTTATATGAATGAAGAAGAAAGACTCACCTCTTTGACCTTGTCCCTCCGTTCCCTGGCGATGGGGTCCTTGTCCTCTCCACCGACCGTCAAAGGAAGTTTACTGGCGGGTGCTGGCGGCACAGTCTCCAGAACTTCGTTCTTCCGGTGAAGCACTAACGATGGCGAACTAGTAACACGCACATGTATTTCACCAATCACTTCCGGCTTCTCTAACATCTTCTGTTGCTGATATTCCTCGTCAATCTTCGCCTGAAATTCGGTCAGATCGAATCGCGGATCGAGATTTTTCGAATGACGGTTTTTTTTTTTTTTTTTTTAATTAATTAGACGTGTTAATTTCAATTTGATCGTCGAGAATAAGAAAATAAAATAAAAATCCGATGGTCTCTCGGTAAGCTAGTCCTTGCTATTAAAATAATGTATTTTTTCTGATACGAACATTGATTTTTTTATAAATTGAGAAAAAAACTGAATGATTTTTTTTAATATACGATTTCGAAACGAACAACAGAGCGGAAAGAATTTGACGTAGGAAGCGACAAATAATAACGAGAGAATAATGAAATCGGATATGGAAAGAATAAATTTTCGATTCATTGTTTGGAATAATTTCAAATAAAAAATGTTTTTTATCTTATTTCATGGAGGATCAATTGTAAAAAGAATTATTTATGTACTTTATTAAATTATTAGAACTAATAGTAACGGTTAATGTTAATTTCGTATATACAGGGTGTCTGGTTAAAATGTTTTGCGATCATTTATACGTTGTTTTAAAAGATGTTTTAAAAGAAATTGTTTTATCAGTCAAGGTAACGTTTAGATAACATTGTTAACTTCAACTTCGACCGAATTGTAAACTTTACGACTTATCAAATTGCAAATATTTATCTATCCTGATAAATTTTTCAATGTCGAATAAAGAAGGAACTGTGTACCATTCCTCGCACGAATTATTCAATCATAAATATTATTTCCATAAAAAAAAATGAAATAATATATTCAACACGGAATCGAAACGAAAAATAGATAGATATCTAAGAAAGCAAACAGAAAAAAAAAAAAAAATCAAACAACGAAACGTTTACTCAGAACATATCGAAATTCCACCGTGTCATCGAATCTCCATAAAACATATAATCAAAGTCAATTTATTCAAAGGTATAGGATGTTTGAGCTGGAGAGGTCAGTAACAGCGACACAGTCTCTTTGAGATCGTGAAACGTTTCCATTTATTTTCCCAGCTATTTACAAATTACAATCTATCAATCGCGCATTTTCATCGCCCCACTTCAAATTCAGACCCTATTTCCGACCGATACACGCGGCAATTATTTATACAAAATTTTCATCTTAAAGAGTGGAAAAGATCGGTCCACGCCACGTCGAATAAAAATCAAATTTTTCCGGACCGTTTGAAAGAGAGAGAGAGAGAGAGAGACCTCGGATCTATTTATTCGAACACCGCCGTACGAATGCAATCTCGTCTCGAGAACACGCTTCTTTCGCTCGATTCGCTCAGAAAATATCGGCTCTCGACCAACCATGATTATAAAAGAAGGAAAAGTGAAATGTTGCGAGTATAACGCTTGCTTTTCCCTCTGCGTTAAACGATTTCGAATTTAACTCTATCACGAGCTGTTTTTTCGAGGAAAAACCGATTATGATCGAGTTATTTGTTGAATAGAGAAGTATTTTGTTTGGAGAAAAAAATTTTTAGGAATAATTGCAACTTTGAGCTCATTCGGACTTATTAATATAATAATTTGAAAGTAATGGAAGGATTCTGAATTGAATTGTTATTTGCGTGAATCCAGAAAAATTATAAATACTTTCACACCGAATTCTAATTTTTATTTAATAATATTTCTTTTTTATTGTGCATATATAATAACGCGCTGATTAAAATATTGCGAATTGAATTAACATACATGCACGAGTATAATTATTCAATTATTTATGTTACACGAAATTCCCGTATATAATTATAGTAACTTCCACTAGTAATATAATAGTAAGTAGCTTTAGCTAGCTTTAGATCTAAATTTATTCCTTTAATCGATAAACTTTTTTTTTCCTTACCGATTTTTTTTTCAAATATTCTCAAATCTAAAAAGTCATCGTGTTACGTAAAAACAAGAATTATTTCTACTTTTTATTTTCGATCAATATTACAATAACGATGTTAGTTTCTATCTTTTTTTGCTATTGCTACTATTCCTTTATTATTGCATTTCTTGTGAAGTTTAAAGTACATTATCTTTGTTATAAGTAATACTAATATAACAGCTATTTTCCATTAAAATTTTATTAAAATTCTGTGTCTCGATAGATAAGATTGATTCAAGTATACTATAGATTTGACTGAGAATATCAAGAAAAATAATTTATTCGCATATACACGTTATCTAATATTGACTCGATGACATATCACATTAGTTTTATTTTAAAATATTATACTATCGCGGTAATATTCACATATAAACTTGAATTCATTCTATTTTTTATGTAATTTCGTGGAAAATTATATATATATTATAACATTTATGGCGTTAAGTTTGTTATCAGAAAATAACAAATAAATATTTCTGAATTTAAATTAGGCAAAAAAAAATATAAAAGTAAAGTATATTGATAGCAAAAGTAACAATTAATAATATTGCAATTGCGAAATTTAGAAGAATTTTTAATTTTTTAAATGAAATATTATTATAAAAAATTCTATGTGTCTTTCTTTCATGAAATTAATTTAATTTCATAAATTGTCTATTTTATGTTAGTCTATTTTATTATTAACTAATAGAAAAAAATGACTAGAATTCTTTCTCTGAAGAAATATAAAAATTCATATCTTTTACTAATGTTATAATATATTAAAAATATATTCTATCATTTTTCTAATGATTCATTCTCAAATCAGTTTTCCGTTCGACTGACCTATATATTTAATTCAAACTATATCTCTTAGTCGATTACTGCACACGTGAAATCGAATGAATAATTCCAATTATGCAAACTACATTTCGTAATCGATCACGTATTAATAGGGGAGATCACCTGTGGATCGTGAATCGATCGAAAATATGTATATATTCGTAACACTTTCAATGAACGACCTGATTGAAAGTCTATGGCAAATTCATAGGTATTCGCTTTAAAATTCCCTTATTTTTGCCATCGTCAGGCTATTGATATTAAATATGAAGATAAAAATATTTCAAGATAAATATGTAAATTAATAACAAATAAATCTATTTCTCTACCAACAACGAATCTATCACAACTTCAATGTTGGATAACATTTCTCTTATATGAGAAACTGGTGAAATTTGAACATGCTGCATCTAACACGTGCAAATGTTAAACTCGCGGAACAAGTGCTAAATTACAGTCGAATTACCTAGTTCTACGATGAAATTGCCATCAAAATCGCGCTTCAATTTTAATAAATCCAACTAGAGAAGAACTATTAATTAAACATTCTGCTTTTCACGTTAAAATTATATTTTAAGTAAGTATATAAATCTAAGAAGCTTTTATTATATTAACAAATTCTTCATGCTATTAAATTCATCGTAAAAAAAAAAATTCTAATTAAATTAAATTCTCATTAAAATTATCGTAGAAAATATAAAAATTACAATTTTAAATAATAAACTGTATCTACATATGTATATATCATAAAAAATGTTTGTTAAAAAAATTGTAACGTTCGAAAATAATCAAGATTTTGACAAACAATCACGGTTGTAAAATTTCGTTTGTGAGACGAAATTTATAATGAAAATCTGTGAATGTTATCAAGAATGGTGCAAATAGAGTTAGCGCGTTTCGCAACATTAAATATTCGAACGTATATCCTCCATTAAACGTAAATCTTTGATAGATTCTATTATTTCACGGTTAACAAGGGACGTCAACATTTTGATATAAACGCGAAAATAATTTCCTATTCGAATTGTAAATCGAGCTTCAATCTTATGTCGTCATCGTTAATTAGACGATAAAACAAGATATAACTTTTTTTTCTTTCGATTCGATTCCATCATCTTTTCAATATCGCTTTCACCATATTTTCGATTGTTTTAGAGATAATTTTCTAACACTCTGAATTTTAAAACGATTTCAAGAATATTGATTATACACGTGAAAATTTTCATTTGGAATTAAAGTTTGTTTTATCGACGATTGAATAAATATCGAGTTATCGTATCAAACTGAGCTGTGAATAATTTTGTTTTATTTAATTCTTAATGGAAAAAATAAAAAAATAAAGTAAAAATTAAAATCAATGAAGAAAATAATAAAAATATTAATTTTTATCCTATATCCTATATCCTATATTCTATATCTTATTAATAATCTTTTTATTAATTAAATTTATCGATAGATATCACTATTCTATTATCAGCAAATCTTATCTTTTTATATCTCAAATTAATCGATTCGCAATTTTTATCAACCTTTATATCGACATCTATCATTTTCCTATTAAATTATTAAATCTAACAACTTAAATATATTTTTATTATAAATAATAAATTTACTAATTCAAAATTTCCTTAAATTTTAAAAAAGTTAAGAAAAAAAAATTATTACTTAACATGTGTTATCCATGTGTTATCCATGTGCATACAACGATAGAAATGAAATATGGTCAATGAGGGTCATGTCGATGCGTCGGAAATTGCGCTTTGAAATTTTAGGGCGAGAGTCTATTAACATTGATAAAACTCGTTCTCTCAGCCCGCAACACGATGATAGATTAAATAATTTAATCCCAGTAAATGCGTTTCACATAGTTACGTTTCACACAGTACGTTTCACAATACGCGTAATTTATTCGCTAATACGCGTGATACGTAGAACGACATGTCATTTTCCGGAGAAACCGTGCGTGATGAAATGAGAACGATAGCTGATTTAAATTTTCATATTTCGTTATACATAAATATTCCGATTATGCAAAAACGTAGGTAAAACGTTTCGTTGTTCACGCACAATTCGTAATGAAAACAGGATTAAAAAGAATAATCGCAGACACAAAACTAACAAAATGGCGATCGAAAACGATAAATTACGATTATCGAATCTTGACAGATCGATCGATATTAAATAAAATATGGTGGCCATATTGAAGTAAATATGTAGCTCATACATATTCATTGACAATTAGCGCGTTTTGATCGTTAGCGCGGAATCAAATCGAATGAACATAGCAAAAATAAAATAATCACGAATTAAAGAAATAAAAATTACGGATTGTGTAAACTTTTGCTCTGTTACGCGTGTACACGTGTGCCCGCGATACGTCACGATGGCCGCATGTAAACAAACGAATCGAGAAAGCGTGTAACAGCTGAAAAAACGGAATACATAAGATGTTATAAAAAAAACAAGGACATCACGACGAGAAAGATCATACAATTATTGTCAAAGAGATCAGCACCATTTGATTTCTCAAGAAACGATGACAAGCGAAATCACGAGTTTGCGAGTAAGCTACAAAATCGAGAGTCGAGTATAATCGAGAATCGAAAGAAGCGCAACGTCGAGACTCTGACACACGCGCGGACCTGCAGCTTTTGCTTGTCCTGAAGAATATGCACATCCTGATGATCAATGCCCTCGTGTCCAGGTGGCACAGCATTAAGATGACCTATGGACCCCTTTATGCCCCCTTGTAAACGAGGTGGCGCCGGTATAAGTAATTCCGGTCCCGCTTTTTGCATGTGTTGGTATACACGGTAAACACTGTTCACTGCGACGCCACCGGTGCCCGGACGGAAATCCGGCAAAAAGAAGAACGTTCCGAAACACACGACACCGAACGTCAAAAACACCAACATGATCAGATACTTTTCACGCGGGCGGAACGACCGTCTCGAGAATAGAGGCACCGGCACACCGTTCACGAACCGCTGATACGATGGCAGAATGCTCGACGTCGTTGTCATTTTAACGATACTGTCACGCCACGCACGCACTAACGCACTTCCCGTTTTTACAACAGACGAAAACTCGAGCACTCGTGCGCGTTGTTGCCCTTTTCCTAGCCGTCGCACGCCATTACAAATGCCGTGGCACGCGAGCACCACCTGCTCGCCGAGCTTGACACTTCGTCGCAGATGGAGCGCCAATCAGCTGGTGCGACTCATGCACCAACTACTTTCATGAATAACAAGCAAACGAATACAGATCGGTATAATATCGTGCAGTCGATAACTTGACACGAAAACACATTAGATATAAAATTTTATATATATATATTTTTGTAATCCAAATTTTCTCAAAAAAATTTATTGTTTTATAATATTAATTTTCAATTTACTATGTTAAAATATTCTAACTATATAAAATTATATAAATGTTATAAATGTAATAATATATATTTTTATTAATTATAGTAAAATTTATCGTTTTAAGTTATTAATTTTCAATTTATAACTGTGTTAAAATATTCTACCATTTTATCTTAGAATTATTTTAATTGTAATTTATATTAATATTAATAATTCATAATTAATTCATATTATATTTCAATTTTCGCGCGTTTAAAATAAGAAATGCACTAACTATTTTTTAACCAATCAGGAAGTCGGTAAGATCTAGCCGCGAAATGAATCAGTGCGCATCATGTTGCGCATGACGTCAGTCTACAGTTGAAAATTGTGGTGACAGGTCACGTTTCATCGGTTGAGAAGTGTAATTATATAAAATTTTTAGTGATAAATTATTGTATTACGGTTATTAAACTTAATTAATCAGTTGTTAAGTTTTGTTTAATCATTATTATATTAGAATTGAATAGTGTTTTGAACTTTTAATAGTTTTATGCCATTATTTGATCCAAGCATTCAAGGCGGGATGGTTCGGAAATGTAATAATTTTTGTGCACGCCATAATGATTAAAAGATAATTCAACGATTATCATATAAATGTGGTAAGATTTTTCTCATTTTCTCATATATTTCTATACTAAATGCATCTATCTATATATTTAATTCGCATATTATTTCTTTGATACATTTTGATTCGAATTATCGAATATGTCTCTCCCCCCTCCCCGCTTCCCCCTTCCCCTCTTCTCCCTTCCCCTCTTCTCCCTTCCCCCTCTTCTCCCAAATTTGTACATTCAAATTGTTACACAAAGGATTTCTATTGCCAAAACTTGTGATTAGTTTTGCTTCAAATGCATAATATATATTTCCTAATACATTTGAATACAGTTATTCTTTTACTTTTTATATTATTATTTCATTAATATGCATTTGTTCAATTATTTATTGAATATTATTAGAATTAATAATTCTTCAAAGAATAATTTAGTCTTCTTTTTTTATTCGTTTATTTGATTATTAGAGTTATTATTAAAGTTAACCATTAATTCAAACTTTTAAAATAAGATTTATATTAAGTTTTTGCTTCATTTTCATACAATTAATTTAATCTTACATATTTTATATATTTATCTTTTTTGTTTCAGATAAATAGTTGAAATTATTTTAGATGAGAAAAAGAATTTTCAATATGAATACCAAGAACAAGTTTTACAAAAGAAATAAGTTTTTAATTTTTAAAGAAAGATGTATGTCAGTGTTTGTTCATCGATTATAAATTATGAATATAATTAATAGCCTTTTATTTTTATTATTATTTTTTTAATATTCGAGATAGAGTCAGTGCTTTTATGAAATAGAGTCAGTGTTTTTCAAGAGAATAAGGCGATCATCCATCACGCAAAGAGGTAATCATTTTTATATATTTTCCAGTTACTTCTTTCAATTTTTTCAAATAGAATTATATTTTAATTATAATATTTTATATTTTGTTACAGTTTCCATTTCCTGATTATTCGGCAATGAATGCAGATTCTTCGCATCATTGGTGAGTCGCATGCATTTATGTTCCTCTGATTACTCAATCATGTCGTAGGATGAAAGGTCCGAATCGACACGAGTAATTGGTTGTATACGTAGATTTTTGCACGAGCACAGTGGCCGCGGGTATTTATTATACCCGTGAGTAGTAACATTTTTTTCTTGTGTTTTATTTATTAGNTATATATTTATCTTTTTTGTTTCAGATAAATAGTTGAAATTATTTTAGATGAGAAAAAGAATTTTCAATATGAATACCAAGAACAAGTTTTACAAAAGAAATAAGTTTTTAATTTTTAAAGAAAGATGTATGTCAGTGTTTGTTCATCGATTATAAATTATGAATATAATTAATAGCCTTTTATTTTTATTATTATTTTTTTAATATTCGAGATAGAGTCAGTGCTTTTATGAAATAGAGTCAGTGTTTTTCAAGAGAATAAGGCGATCATCCATCACGCAAAGAGGTAATCATTTTTATATATTTTCCAGTTACTTCTTTCAATTTTTTCAAATAGAATTATATTTTAATTATAATATTTTATATTTTGTTACAGTTTCCATTTCCTGATTATTCGGCAATGAATGCAGATTCTTCGCATCATTGGTGAGTCGCATGCATTTATGTTCCTCTGATTACTCAATCATGTCGTAGGATGAAAGGTCCGAATCGACACGAGTAATTGGTTGTATACGTAGATTTTTGCACGAGCACAGTGGCCGCGGGTATTTATTATACCCGTGAGTAGTAACATTTTTTTCTTGTGTTTTATTTATTAGATCAGGATAGGTCTTCTTGTATATTATGTTTTTAAATATTAATAATTTTAATGATATTAATTCATTTTCTAAAAATAAATTATTGTAATCTATTAAAGCATATTTACAAACATCAAATATTTAAATATATATATATAAATTAAATAAATAGTAAAAATAATAGTTTTTATTTCTCTTGTTTAAAAATACATCAAATATTATATGCAAGAAGACACTTCGCGACAGGCAGATTTTAAAATCAAAGTTACAAGTTTTGAATATTTCTTTTATATATTTTTGAAAATGTGCTTTGATAAAGAGATCGCCTGAGGTTATTTTTATTAATAAATATATTATAAATATAATATGAATAATTTTATTAAATATAATATGAATAAATTTCCATTCAGAGTCAATTATATATTATTAATTCTCAAAATAATTCTGAAAATAAATTTCTTATTTATTGTTTTTACATTTTTGCTTTCTAAAATTAATAAAAATTAATTAAATTTGTAAATTAAATTTATTAGAGCTTGAAATAAAATAAACAAATTTGAATTAAAGAATATTAGTTCGTTAGATATGCTAATATGTTTTTTTAGCTCAGGATTTTCAGATTTAACCCTTTCCATGTCCATTGCCAGGATCTCATTCACGTGCCCCGGTGCTACTTGGGTGAGAGAAAGGCAATGGGCATGATGAATCTAGTTCATAAAGTTATAATAATTTTTCAGCGACTGACGATATGTTAGTGAATCGTGCACGACGTATTTTCCACATTGTGTGTGTGGAATTAGGTTGTGGAATTGCGTCGTTTATCATTTCATACAATATAGCTTATAATATTCATGAGTAATCTCATTATAATTTCCCATAACTTATATATAATATTACAAGTTTTACTTCCAAATTACGACAATGATATTAAATATTATTTTTAGTAATTTAATTCTTTCAAAAGACATATATTTTTGTTGATGGATATTCGATTAATTAATATATATGTATTTTTATCGCAATGGTCACTAGCCATCGTCAGTCGATTTCAGGAAAAAGGTACGTAAAGTTAGAGTGTGAAAGAAGTATGCCAAGCTCGGGTGTCGGAGGTGTCCCGGGACATTTTCCCTAGTGTAGGCTTTTGCGCCCGAGTATTATGCGTGAGAATCGTGGAATGAATGTGTTGGTATGCCTGTTTTGCCATTTTTTAAATATAGGGCTAGGTAGGATAGGTAGTATACTTCTGGTATGTCTGTTAAATTTAAGTAGGTAGGGCCGGGCAAGTTGTCACAATCTCTGGTCGGGTAGGCGCGTTTTCGCGTGACAACTTGTTTCAGGAAATATAATTTGAAAAATCGAGAGTGAAATTTTATCATGAATCGAATGATCATTAATGACTATTTGTTTTTATCTTGCTTTCGATTTTTCGAATTCCGCGGTCGTGGTCGTGAAATGGATTTCGAAACGCACATTGAGCTCGAGATTTTGTACATGTACGGATCACTGCGATCGTTGATCGCCCAATGCATGTGCACTCAATTTCCTTAGTTTTTTGTATGCGAAGGTAGGAAATCTCGAGCCTAGTTTTAAGTTTCAGCGAGCATTGCGCTCGAAAAAAGAAGACCGAAGAGGCCTCGACAAACTGTCACGAAGAGGGGCTGCAACGAATGGCTTCTCATTTTTTGGATTTTGTCTGGATCCAAAGAATGGGAAGTCATTGTTACTACTTTGTCATTGTGCTCGTTTTAGTAATACGTAGTTTTTGTTGTTATATCATTTAGCCAATTTGCATGCTGGCTTTTTTTATTAGTATTGATTTTATTAAATTAATTAATAACAGATTGAATTAAAGTTGCAATATAATTTTCATCAGTTTTTTTTAACAGTATTATGTTAAAATGAAAAGTTTGCATTAATATTATGAATTACACAAGATATTTTTTTATTACAAATTATTACATTTTATTTTATTTCATTCACATTTTTATTATTCATTATTATATGTACTTATATAACATTTTTGTTTCAGTTATTGATTGTCTTTCTTTTTAATTATTAATTTAATAAATAAGTTTATTCCAGATATATCAATTCAGAAGAAACATAAGTCTTTCAATTGGTAAGTAATTACATTATATAAAACTTTATTAATTCTTTCTAATTTGATTTATTTTCAGAAATTATGTTGGAATCAATCAAAGAAGATTTATTTCAAAGAATATCTTTTCTGTGATTATATCAGATTTTTTGGTAGGTGGAATTCTAAAAAAATCTTTAAATTTCTATGCAAGTAGATTATATCTTTAATTAGAGAGGTAAGAAGAATTTAGTTTTTATTAGGTAAATTTTTTAAAAATCTTTAAATTTTTCTACGTAGGTAGATAATATTTTTAAATTTTTTAAAATAGAAATTGAAAAAATTTATTTTATGTGCAGACAAAGATTACATCAAGATTTGAAAATGGAAAGTCATTATGATTTATGAAATTTTATGATTTTCTTTATAAATTCTTTAATAATCTTATTCATTTGAGAAACTATTATAAAATCAATTAAGTCAAGTAAGTAAAATTAAGTTAAATAAAAAAGATTCATATTTAATATTTTTTTTTCCTTTGTTTGATTGTATTTAGATTTTTTTGTAGATAGATTTCTTAAAGTTTTAAATAAATATGTCAATACTATTTATAGATTTTTAGATAAGAAAATAGATAAGAATTAAAAATATTTAACTTGTATACAGATAAGAATTAGATTCATTTTCAAAAGAATTATAAGTTTAGATCAAATTTTTGAAGTTATTCAATTTAAGTTTATATAGTTTATAAGAAATTTCAATAAATGTAATATTTTTAAATACATGTAAGATTTTTATAAATTACATTCATTTCATACAAAATTCTTTCTAAATATAAATTTAGGATTAATTATTAATTTAAAGATTAGTATTGAGCTATTTTTAAGTAAAAATTTGGAAATACAAATAAATTTGTAAGAAAGTATTAATTATTATTTTAGTAAAATACAATTGTAAGTAAATGAATTATATGAATAATTAATGATACACCAATGTTGGTTACGGTGGTGAATAGAATTCAAGTTAATAAAATAAATAAAACTTTCTTTAAGATATATTTTATTTATTTATTTTTATTTTTCTTATTATCAATATTTTATATTCAATATTATACATTCAATGAAAATATAAAATATTGATATATGTACAAAATAATATGTGTTTGTTGTGTAGAATTATACAATTAAATTTGATGAAATTTAATTTTTTATTTTCAGGTTTTTATTGTATCAGTCAATCAGTTAAGTCGATAAGTTTAATTGTTTAATTCTTAAAAATCCATAAACTGATTGATTTATTCTTATAACAAATATGAATTATCTTATTGTTAAATATATCTATTCTATGACACAAAATAGAAATAGTTATCTCTTATATTTAAAATTTATATAATACACTTTTGAAAAAATGTCAAGAGATGGCGCTAATAATCCATTCTTGTGCTATTTCTATCTTTTTCTCATAATCTACTGTCCTTTTTTATGTTTCTCGTACGGCGCTCTCTAGATGGCGTTAGTTGTCAAATTTTTACTCTATTTCTGTCCTTCTCTTACTATTTCCTTTTTTTGTCTATACTTAGTTTTGTGAAGTGTGTGATTATGACAAGGTACAAGATTTCAATATTTTCTTCGAATAAAATATTTAGAAAAGAATAAGTGATATTATTATTCTTTTTTATAACTTTTGTTTTATTTAATTATTTTTTAAAACTACATGAAAAATATCATATGCATAATCTTATCTGCTATAAAAAGCATGCGGTATTAAATAGAATATTTTAAAAAACATCCATATTTATTCTGATGAGTAGATTATTTAGAAATTTGACAATTTTGCGATAGTTATATATTCTGATATTGCTAATTGTTTATTAAAAAAATTAAATTTTCGACCTATAACCTTAAGAATATGATATGATAGTTATTTCTGTAATAGTGCATTAATGCAATAAATTATCATAAATGAAAGAAAATATATGAATAAATAAATTAGCAGAGATACGATTTTTTTTCATTTTTTTTTTTTTTTCATATACACCACGTGTATTGAAGTAGAATGAGAAGTGAGCTTTTTAAATAATATATCTTTATTCTATTGAGAATCGAAAGTAGAATTAGTCGCCGATTAGTTTTTTCCTAGTCCTTGTTCTATCTTTAAAGTTTAATCTTTAAAATCATTATTGAACGCTTAATGATGTGCGATAAATTATAAAAATTCACAATTCTTCTGTGATTACATTCAATAAATAATATTTACCAGAAAAATCTTCTTCAATTCCTTTTTCATTGAATATTATTTCTTTGTTTTTCCATCTGTTATCTGTATAGGGAACATGAAACTTGAAAAAATAATATATAAACATTCAAAGCCTATCTATTAAATTATCTTCGTCAGAATGTATAAAAAAAAAAATGAGTCATCGTATTATTGATGATAATCAATAATATAAGTATATATATATATATATATATATATATAAAGATTTTATTTGCCATTACTTTCCATTTAGTTGATTCATTCCCGCTTGTTATCCGGATGTCATACCGTGACGGCTGAGAAATCAATTATTCGTTGCGTATCTAGCGATACCTGTCTTGTATCATGAAACATACTTTATAAATTAGCCTTGTATAGCGATTGGCTTTGGCGATTTTAAAAAGAGCGTATGAAGCGCACCCGCGGGAAAAAGACGGCTGCCTTACCGAGTTTTGGATAACTCGTTGCCACGACGCATACATCAGTCCAGGATTTCGCTTCTTCAGTAACTATGCAGCTCTCGTGGATAATGTAAGTAATCAAACGTAATCGACAATCAAGATCTAAATTTAATTTATCGTATTTATTAATATAACTGAAGCCTTAGAAAATTAATTTATATACTTTTAAAAAAAATGATTTTAAATTATTTTTAAATTTTATTGAACCGTGTCACTATTAAATAATAATAGAATTAATTAATAAATAAAATGGAGATGTGGTGCGTAATCACAATGTTGATTTCAAGATATTTCAAGTGTATCATTTATTCGAAGTCATCGATTGAAATTGTTGGTACAATTTTACGGCAATAATACGCGGAAATATATTGCGAAAACAGTGAAATTTGATCATGAAATGAATAATCTGGCTGTCGCATCGCGTACGTGATGGATCTGAAATAAATTATTTTCCTTCTTAATGTTATTACTACTCCATGCTGTTTGTTCGTTGAGGAATTATTCATGAATGATTTTTCCTTCTTTTTTTCCTTTTTTTTTTTCTCTCTCTCTCTTGTTTTTCTTTACAGATGTCAGTTGTCAATCGTTAGTGCAATTCCTTTGTATCCTTCTTCACAGTCGTTCGCACGGATCTGGAGGATCGTGAACACGAACGACACAAAAGCGAACTTGGATCATCACGACCACCGTGAAAATCAAGAGCAGAGAATTTGTGAGACTAAGTACTGTTACCAGATCGGTACGTTGGTGTGCTCTCGTGACGTAACATTTACATAAGTTGCAATTTTCTCGTAAATGAGTTGCATTATATAAGAGAACAGCCTGCAGGCTGTGTTCTTCTGTGTTGATAAATTATCGAACGATAACACTAAAGAGAAATCTTTTGGAATGGCACGTGCTGTTCGAGCATAATAAGAAATACACGAGACAAATCACAGTAGCGAAAAATTATGTTGTATCGCGTTTTGCAAGCGCGTAATTTTCTTTAATATTTATTATATTTGGTTATATACAAATGAAGAAATTTATAATTTATGGATTTGGATTTAATCGTTAGATATAAATAGATATTTCTTTTTTTATTAAGGAGTTAAATGATTTACTAATTTGATTATTTCAGTTGTCTCGACATTAATATCTTTGCTTGATTCGAGGATCACCTAAATATTAATTGAAATTCTTTTTTTTAAATCTCTTCTCTCTTTTTAGATGCAGAAAAAATGATTATTTAAAATGTAATATGTAATATTTTTCTTTAATTTCAGTAATATTTCTTTATCAATCGTTCAAAATTTCATAATATTACAAAATTTCCAAGCTTCTTATTATTAGAATCTTTTAAAAATTTAAACATCGAAAATAACGAAATATCCAAAGATTTTTATTCAAATTTCATTTCTCTAATTTTAAAAAATTCACTTTATATAATAATCGCAGTTTACACGTTATTTACAAATATGAAAAATGACGAGAAGTTGATCAATTTTGTCGATTCATTATCCCAGCGAAAAAAATTGAGGAAAATAGAGATGCCACGGTGGACCCTTGCGAAAATTTCTACCAGTATGCTTGTGGTTCGTGGAACAAGCACAATCCCATACCAGACAACAAAGTTGAATGGTCCGAGGATGAGATTAAAGCGAATAAAACGAATAATCGTATCAGAGGCAAGAAATTATTTTTTCCATCTATTCTTTTATACTTTTTTTATATGAAAGAAACTTGAAATAATTCATGAATTTGAGAATTTCGTTCGTTTATTTTATTTATAAATTATATATTCTTGAATTGTCCCTATGAAGAAATCCTTTCGGAAGACGACAAATCAACCGATATCATACCTGTTAAAATGGCCAAGAAATTTTATCGTTCCTGCATGGATGTAGGTAGGAAAATCGCAATCGATGTTGATATGAGAGAATAAACTTTAGCACGTGCATAATTATTCGAGAGAATTTACATCCGTGTACATGCAATTAAATCTATTTGCACAGACAGTTTGTTATTAACTATGCAATGAAAATTAAAATATGTTTTTCTCGTTTAGATAGATGAACAGAAGAAGTTTTTAATTACTTGATCGAACTAATTATTTGATAATATATACGCGGTATATACGATCAATTCCCATATTTTCAAGAATTGATAAACATTTTAGTGGATAAGTTACGCCATTCGAGATCTCATTTGAATAAACTGTGAATTTCAATTCTCTAGCTGTAAGAATTCTAAAAATAATATTATTCTTGGAGGATATGATCGATTCGAGTAATGGATTCTGTTCGAATAATTACAAGTGCTGAGGGATGTGTTCCTTTGAAAAAGCTTTGTCCAAATTTTTCTTCCAATCTTTCGACAGACGCGATCGAAAAGAGAGGCATTAAACCGATTCAAGAGATCCTAGATCGCACTGGAGGATGGCCTGTAGCCATGCCATTCAACGAGTGGGATCCTGATAAAACACCTTGGCAGAGGATCGACAAGGAATACATGATATTAATCGGAAACAGCGCTTTCTACAATCTCGAATACGAAATCGATTTGAACAATACGAAACGCTACGTGTTGACAGTAAGATATAAAACGCGACAATGAAATGTATAATAATGATAATGTTAAAAAATTTCCACGAATTATTTATCTGAGAAAAGTTTTGTATTTGCAGATAGATCAAGCCACCGAATATCCTCTGTCGAGAAAAAGACTGTTTGTGAACATGTTCGAAATGTTTTTATACGATGACGATCAATTCACGATAGGTATATTTCGTATGATTCAAACTTTCGCAAGGGAAAAAGGATACACTCTGAATCGACGACATTTAATTATCGATATAGTGGAAATGTTATATTTCGAGCTTGAATTGTTGGAGGTGACCAACTTTTTTGGATTAATGATTCGCGTCAATAAACGTGATGAAGAGTAATATCTCTTGTTTTTTTATCACAGATCATCGAAAATGGGAAGGAAAGTCACACGGTTAGTGATAATTTCGAAAGAATGACGATCGAACAATTGCAGAAATGGTATGACAATTCTGGCGTTAATACATCTACGGCAAAGGTAAAAAAAATAATTATCCTAATAATTATTCTAAACGAATGAATCTGAAACCTTCGCCTAAATCGAAACGCTTTCTGCACTATTTAATTCCAAGATCAAATCTCGTTTCAACTCCAATGCCAAACTGACACACTTTCTTCTATTCGTGAATATTATTCTTCCTCATAGCCAATAGCTATTCTTCAATTCTTAATTGCTTTGATTCACAAGTATCGATCGTCACGATGCATCAATCATCGATAGACAATTCGAATAACGAGCAATCGTGACACTCGATACAGGCTAAGGTGTTTTACAAGTAATATTTGCAGATAGACTTCTTGGAAGTGATACAATACTCTTTTAAAATGGCTAATATCGACATAAATTCATCCGAACCTATTATAGTGTACAACCCAATATTTCTTCACAAGCTGGCCAATTTACTTGGAAAGACATCTCGACGTGTGTTGGGTAATTACAAAAATCGTGTACGATAATTTATGTTTGGCTGTTGCATTTCGATTAAAAAGTTGATCAATTTCGAGATTTTCTTTCGACTCGTACACTTTCACTACGTCATTGTTTATTGTTTCCCTCGTTTCTAGTGAACTACATCCAATGGAACATGATCGACAAATTTTTGTTGTACACTACGCAAGAGATGAGGGACATAAAGTTCGAGATGTCATTGTCGTCGTATAACGTGTCCAATTTTATTCCACGGTATTTTTTTTTTTTTTTTTTTCTTACACCTTCACGATATTGCATCGCGTGAAAAATAAGAAAAATAAGAAAAATAATTTTGAAAATTTGATACTCGTTGAAAGAGATCAAATTTTTGTTATTATTCTGTGTGCCTTTAAATTATGAACGTGAATAGATATTTGGAAAAAATGATTTTGATTTCTTTCGATTAACTTTTAGATGGGAAATTTGTGCGAACAATATTAGAATGAAGAATGCGGTTTCTTACATGTTCGTTAAGGAATACATCTCGGATAACGTTGTTCACGAGGTAATATTTGTTTGAGATTGGTTTTAAACACGAAAGGAAAAAAATTTTTATTTTATATATCAATTTAAGGCGACGAAAATGGTTGAAGGAATGAAAGAAGAATTAAGACATCGCATAGGTCAGACACATTGGCTATCAAATTCCATAAAAGAGAAGCTGATGGAAAAGTTGGATAATCTACAAACGCAGATTGGATATCCAGATTGGTATAAGGACAATGCTGCTGTTATTCGATATTACGATGGAGTATTCATCTTCTAACGCAATTATAATATAATCAAATATGCAATATGATATATGTTTATATAGACGTGATTTTTATCAATTATTTGCAGCTTCAAATAGGATCGGATTATTTTCAAAATATTTTAAATTGTGAAAGGAACGAATTGTTAAAAAGTCTGACGGAATTCAGGCAGACTGTTATGAGAGATAAGTGAGTTTTTCTCAAACAAGAAAATATTATATATCGATTAAATATTCAACGCTTAAAATATTTAATTTACATTTGATTTTATTATTATCCTTCAGATGGTTAGATTTTCCTATAACAGTTAATGCGTTTTATGCTCAAATAATCAATTCGATACGTGAGTACTATTAAAAAAAAAAAGATAAAATTTGTATATTTTTTTAATATATCACGCGTATTACTAAAAAAAATTAATTTTTATACTTAAGAATTAAAATTTTCCTTATTAAAATTTATCATCATTCCAGTTATACCAGCAGCTGAGTTGCAAGATCCTTATTTCACGCATATTTTACCAGAGTAAGCTTCTTTATTTCTTATCTCAATTCATCATTGCGTCTCTTATATAATTAAATTAATATATAAATTTATTAACAATACAAATTACCAGCGCTATTAATTATGGAACGATCGGATTTGTAATTGGACATGAATTATCTCACAGTTTCGATAACGAAGGTAATTCTATAAAATGATTTTAAATCATTGTTCGATAGATAAATTTAAAAAAATTCCTATAAACAGAGATTTGTCTATTCAGGAATACGATTTGATAAAGAGGGTTACAAAATTCCGTGGAATTCCAAAAATATATCAGAAGAATTCGAGGAACAATCGATGTGTTTTGTCAATCAGTATAACAATTATGTACTTGATGTCATAGACGAAAATGGGGAACTCTTTAAGGTGAGGCTCTTTCATCGACACTTGATGCAAAGTTTCGCATAGTTTCGACGATTTTTTAATCGATTAAAACTATATTGATTATCTCTCCATTTGAGAATTACTCTGTTAATATTATATAACCACTCAAGTTACGCAATTGACAAGAATTTAGAAGATTCTAATTGATTTTTTATAACAGAAAATAGTTATCTGAAAAAATACACATATATCAAATATTTAAATTCAATAAAAAAAGTACTAATAAGTACTATTTACAATTCAGCTGAATGGATATCTAACCGAAGATGAAAATATGGCTGATTCAATTGGTATACAAATTGCTTATTCAACGTACAAGAAAATAGCGAAACAAAAACCACAAACCAAGTTACCAGGTTTAGAAAATATTACCAACGACGAACTTTTCTTTTTATCCTTTGCGAATGTAAGTTATTTAAGTATTGGAATAATTTCGAAATTCTATAATATAGACAATTTCGTTTTTTTTTTTTAATATTTCGAATATTAACAGTCAAATTTCAATCTAAAAATCGACTAGAAATAATTATTTATCGTCTCTCCATTATCGTGTGTTAATTATGTCTCAACAAATATAAAATTTAAATGTTTCTCGATTTAATTAACACAATTCCATTTTAGTCTTGGTGCTCTTCGACGAGGCCTGAATACGAGGCAGATATGGTGAACAAAGACGAGCACAGTCCTGCAAAGTATCGGATTATAGGTTCCCTTTCCAATATGGACGCGTTTTCCAAAACTTTTAAATGCTCGCGAAACAGTCCAATGAATCGACGACACAAGTGTACGTTCTGGAATTAATAAAACTATATACAAAATTAATAAATTATGAACGAAGTTTCGATAAAGAAATAACATGACGTTGTTTAGCAAATTTTATTATGCAAAGATAAGTTTTATCTTTTTTTATTGTTTTTTTTAAGCGATAAAATGAACGTAGTAATAATTGAAGAACATTTTTTTAAATTCTCTTTTTTGAAATGTTAAGTTTAGTAGTTTTGTTAATTTTATTTATAATTATAAATTATAAATTTAATTGTAAATATTAAAATAGAATATTAATAAAATTTAAAACGAATATTTCCTCCTATTTATGCAATCAATACGAAAATTAAAATTTTTTTCTTCTTTTAAAATTTTTCTAATTTTTCTAATTTATTCAATTATTCAAAATATTTTCTTCTCTTATCTCCATCGTCACATTATTTTTTAGCAATAATAATTTATTCAGGCGTGAAATGATTCTGAATCTCGTGTGTTGAAATATTTCGACAGCGCTTTATTCAATTTCATACGGAAGGAAATCAAGTATTTTTAAAACAAAATACTCATACAAAACGTATAAAATCGGGGACGAGGATTTGTACATCGATCTAATACATATAGACAATCGTACAATACAACGCAATCGTTAAGTACACAATAATTATACGTAACATTAACGCCTATCAACATAAACATAAAATATAAATCTTCACATTTATTTTTTTTTTTCTTCAACAGAGATCATATCCACGCTTCCGTTATTTCTCACGATTTTGCGAGTGTGCGATCCATCTACGTTTAAACGATAAGACTCTATTGTAGCATGGCTAGTATCACAATTCTGACAAAATTGTCTCTCGAACGAAGTAGAATTGATGCGGAGTTTAATACATTTGTATGCGTGAAACGGAAACGCTTCCTTGTAAAATTTTAAAAATTCGATTTTTACATCGATTTTATACAAAAAAACTTAAGCATTACTTTGAAACGATCTATATACAACAAAAAACATGAGAAGTGATAAATGATACAAAGGATACAAAAAAAAAAAAAAAAAACAAAAAATATTCGGTACGTTATAGTAAAATACTAAAATACACGAGACTAAAGTTCTTTCTACATAATCCATCTATAAATTACAAACATCTTCTAAGTAAGTACACAAGATCAATGGTACAACGAGTAAATCTATTCAATAGCTGCACGATGAAGGTCTTCGATACTACTACTACTAACTTAACTTTGTACAAAAGCGTACAGAGTGTTTTGTCACTCTTTCTAAAATTTTGTATGCTTAAATAACGATTTAACATACACTTCGAAACAAGCAAAAAAAGAGATAAAAACGAAACTTAACAAATTCGAATATTTAAAGAAACATTTTTTCTACGTGTAATTATTGCTCGTTTTTTTCTATACATCGTTGTTCAACATACAAAAAAAAAAAAAAAAAAAAGAAAAAAAGAAAGAAACTTAGCATAAAGACTACTATCCTATATTTATACTTCATCTATACACGTCCTACAAAAATCATCTTCTACCTATCTAATCGATTCATCGATTCTCTATTTCGTTATTATATAATAACAGTTCATGACGAGAACATCAATTTTTTGGCCGGAAACGGGACATGTAAAAATCGCAGTCCGAACAATAAATGGCGGGCTCGGTCACCTGCTTCTTCCGGCAGAGATGGCAAGGCGCCGTCCTGGCAACGCCTCCGACCGGGGGTGGTTTCTGCAAAGAAGACGTGGAGGATTGGGTCACCGTCGAGCTCCCCTTCGACGTAGGGACGAAGTGCATCTGTTTGCTCTGCTTCGAAACCGGAGGGTGCTGGTAAGTTGGATATTTCATGTTCGACTGGATTTGACCGTTCTGCAACGCGTTTGGATACGTCTGATTGGGCGCCAATATGTTCTGCTGATCGATCTTCTGCGGTGATCTCTGATAATTATCGTGTCTTTGTTGGTAATTTTGCATATTCTGTTGTTGTTGTTGTTGATAAGAGGTTGGTGGATTGGGTGGTGGCTGATACTGCGGAAGTGGTTGGTTTATTCTATTGTGCTGAGGAACCGATTGGTAGGAGTAACCTTGATAGGAACTATGGCTGTATTGGTTCTGATATGGATTCGGGGATTGAGTTGGCGGGTATGCGAATTGCTGCTGCGAGTGTTGAACGGTTATAGGGCTAGCATTGTGGTTCATGATTCTCTGGTTCACGTTTGGCTGTTGTTGTTGTTGTTGGGACATTTGTTTGTTCATCTGGTTGTGCTGTTGCTCGAGTTGGTAGTAAGTCTGATAGGTACTTTTTTGGCATATTGATTTTTGTTGCTGCACGTTGTTCTGAGTATATTGAATTTGTGTGGGGTAAGGGCTGGCTGGTTTTTGGGTTTGGGACAGAGGAATGCCCTGATTCCTGGGATGAGACATTTGTGCTTGAGGATACGTTGACTGGGATTGCAAATATGGCATGTATCCATTTTGAGAGTATCTTATCTGTTGTTGAAGTTGAGGGGAGTAGGACGTGGGTGGTTTGGAAACATTTGGAAGCCCTGTGTAACTATCTCTCACAACATCTTGTCCTTCGTTGCCATAGGAACCACACAATTTCTTGTCTGACAACGATCCAACAGATTCGTTCGAATTTTGCCTTCCCAAAGGAGGTTTAATAGTTTCTGGGATAGGTATTGGGTTCACACTTCTTAACTGATCCTGATAAGGGGTCGCGGGAACACTGTCAGCTTCACTTTTTAACGGTAGAGTTTGTTGCTGAAATTTGGTAGGGGCGCAATTCTCTCGATTCATCTCTGCTTCTTGAAGACTTCTTATCTCTCGAAGAACTTGGGCAGTTTCCGGTTTGTTCATCGCCGACCGTAGAACTCTTTCGAGGATGGGATTGGGTATGTAAGAGTCTTTCTCGTCGTCCTCTGCAGTAGCCACCAGGACGACTTGATCGCAGAACGACACGCTCTTTTTCTTCCCTATTCGTCGTTTCACCTTCCTGGGCGCGATATCGTCTTCGCTTGGAAGAATCGTCGTGTTCTGAATAGTATTCTGCATGGCAACCTCGCTGATGTCATCCTCGGGATAGTCAATAGGTAAACCATTCTCGTGTGGCAATGTCAAAGACATCGACATGATGGCCTGGTTTAATCCACTTTGCTGCGTTTGCATGATATTACTCGGAGCTGTGGTCGAGATAAAACTGTTCTGACTCGAGCTCGACTCGAAACTCGAATTCATGATCGACTGATTCGATTCAGTTTTGGTAAAGTTCGCCAGATTTTCCGTAGAAAGTTTCATCGGCCTCGATTCCTCCTCGTGCTGTACATCCTGAGAACCCTCCATCAACGAAGGAGAAACGCAATTTTGCTTCGTCGAGATCTTCTGTTCGGGTTCTGTTTTCGCCGGCTGCAGCTTAATCTGCTCGAATCTAGCCGCCATGTCTTTCACGGAGGAAACAACTCTTGGACAATCAGGTACGTCGCGACTAGTCTGATCATAATTTTGTCCAAGACTGTTCATCATCAGATCGCTCGTTCTTCGAGCGATCGTCGGTCCTTGTATGCTAGGAGCGGACGATCTGCCCTTAGATGCATCCTGTTCGAATGGACCCTGTTTCTTCATCCTCCTTTCCGCCTGTTTAGCTTGCAACTCGCGCAGCCAGGTCACACCGGACGATTTTTCCTCTTCCTCCTGATCCTCGAGCCTCTTCTCCTCCCTGGAAGGATCGCAGGTCATAATCTGATCCCTCTTCAGCTGCAATTGAGACAACAGACTGATAATATGCTGATTGTCCAATTCCTGTTGACGTTGCTGCTGCGTTGACACGGCCGCCTGTTGCAGCTGCTGCTGCTGCTGCTGATACTGCTGCTGATACTGTTGTTGTTGCTGTTGCTGCTGTTGATATTGATGCTGGTACTGTTGCTGACTCTCCTGGACGTGATTGGTGGAGCTCTCGTCGATCGGTGGCGGGGGAGGTGGAAAGTCCTCGCTCGCTTGCCTCGAATGGGACACAGAGTGAATAGAGGGATACGGTGGGGGAGGAAAATCTTCGCTGGGTTGCCTCGAATGAGAAACGTTCCCGCTCTCGGGATAGGGAGGCAACGAGTCCAACTGACTCTGCTGTTTCACAGGACTCTGCTCGTTGTGCACATCCGCTCTGGTGACCACGAACGTGGGCTCGTACAGGATACCATTGGCGTATTGCACCACGTCATCTTGAATTCTCGGTTTGCTGTTGTAGCCCGATGGACACGAGGGGGATACATTCGCAGCGTTCTGCTCCATAGCGTAGGAGGGCAAAAACGGAAGGGAATGAGACTCGGACGAGTAGTCGGTATAGTTGGACGTTCTATTCGCTCCGCCAGCCGAATTGGTCGCGTTCACGTGATTCCAATACGCTCCGTTCTGCTCTTGGGACGGATTCGACGGATTGCACTGACCCTCTGACGCCGGGTAGACCGATTTCTCGGATTGCTGCTCGTTGTGCACTTCGCCCGAACACTTAGACTTGCTAAGCTGAGAAGTGGTCCTGAGCGGAGGAGGCGGTGGAACCTTCGCCACGTGTAACACTTTGCCAGCACTTCCGTGGAAGCTCTTCCTCATCAGACGACTTCTCTCCAGATTCGGATTGCTCGTACTGCTCGGGCTCCCGTTGCTATTTCCGGTGAACTCGAGATGCCCCTCTGACAGGTAACCGCTCAAAGATTGGCACACCTCGTTCCCCTTCAAACCCACACTGGAATCGTCCACCGACTGCTTTGGCAAGGTGTTGGAGGCTCCCTCCGCGCTAGCATTCGTTTGTCCATCCTGCCCTTCGCGCAGATCCGGCATGCTTCTGTTTTTCCTCTTGATCAATCCACCCATTAACAATTTCCTGCGAATCTTGTGCTGCTTCTTGCCCTGTTTCTGCTGTTCCCCGCCCGTGCTACCAGACTGAGAATTTCTCGCGTTGTTGGCAACGTTAGTGTCGACGTTCTCCTTCGACTTCTCCACTTTTGCTCCCTTGGGCGAGGGAGAAGATCGGGTGGGCGCGATGGAGAAGTCTTTCGAGACGTTCTTGTTCCTCTCCTCGCTGCGTGCCCGTTTCTTGTCCTTTTTGTCGTCGTCGCAACGCTTCGTACGGCTGAACAGACCCGTCCTCTGCATCGGCCGATCGTACAACATGTACTCTTCATCCTCGATCACGTTCACAGCCGTCGCCTTGCTGCGCAGAGTCTTCTTTTTTGGCAACGTGGCATAAATCTCTATGCTCTTCGTGGTAGGCTTGTCGCTAGCCGCGGTTGGAGCGTTCACCAGAAGTTCTCGACTGTTTTGCCTGGAATGATTCCCTTTGTCTCTGGAACTCTGTCGAGAGTGTTGGCCTGATTTACTGTTCTCTCGAGAATGCCTGCCTTCTAGCGCGCCTTCTACAAGTATATACACAATTATACATTAAAGATATACAAAATTACAAAATTCGTTACTAATTATTCCATTCGATATATTTTTCTTTTTTTCTTTTTTTAAACAACAGACCTTCTTTTTCTCCATTGGCCGTTGCTTGCTCCTGCAACATCCTTCTGTGCAAACTCCTTGTCCTCATCACGCAAGTATTGTGCTTCATCCTCGCTATGGTGATCGTGTGAGGATTGTTGTACGGCGCGTCCATGGCAGCTCTAGCTTTGCTGCTGGCTGCGCTGCACAGAGCAACAGCGGTGCTGAGATCCCCTGCATCCTCGGCCGCTCGGGATTTGTCCAAGAGCGCGTCGGTTTCCTTGCAGAGACGTTCGCAGTCGTCGCCTGAGGAAGCTTGGTAGCCTTCCGGGATCTGGGCAAGCTATCATTTAAGTAAATCGATTTGAACTCTAAGTTCAATTAATTACAATTACAATTATCTATCTGTCACAATTCCACAAATTCGATGTAACACTTATTCTATATAATACCGTGAAATACATTATTTGCCGTAACGTCGTACCTGCAGATTATGCTTTAGACCCTGTTGGAGCGGAAGGCTGTCCGTGGAAGACAAGGAATACGAATCGTATCCGGCGTCGTAATGGCCGCTGCTGCTGCTCGAGAGTTCTCCAGATTTGCTGGTCGGGCTCTTCGGCACGCCCGAGTTCCTCTGCATTTTATTGACGATGTACAGATACGGATTGTCCATCGTCGTGGAGGAACTCGAGGAGGCGCTGTTTCGATCGCCCGACCAGTTCCCGGAATCCCGCCTCCGCGGCACGTTCAAGTGATCCGGAATACTGATGGCGTCCTGCGGTGTCGAGCCCGCGCTCAGGCTTCGTGTCAGCTGCATTTGTTGCTTCTTCTGCTGCTGCATCACGTTCTCGACCGCGCGTCGACTGATATATTTCGACTCCACCTCCCCGTCCACGGTATCAACACCCTTCAACAACAAAAGTAACAAAAATCTTTTATTTACTTTCGTCTTATATTTATTAAAAAAAAAAGTTGTAGGATATAATCATGAATTATTAACTATAAGAGTAACTCAGAAACTCAAAAAATTTATTTTAAAGAAATTATAATTTTCAATTTTTTTTTTTTTGTTTTTATCATTCTCTCGAATTAAAATTTTTCTATTATATACTTTATTATATAATTCGTTGATCATCGAAACTCACTTGATTTCCAAATATATTATTCTGTATATCGGTCAGATTCTGATAATCGCTGTAAATCCTACGCTGCGTATAAGGGTGAGGGGGGCTGTCGGGATTGGGCGTGATGGCACGTCTGGCTGTGCTGTTGATCGATGGTTTTTCCGGGCTGGGGGTGATCGATCGTCGAACATTATTCTTCGGGGGTGTCTTCAGCCCATTTCCGTTCGGGAAAGGAGTCACGGTTTTCGGGGCGTTTTCCGTGTTCACTGGAGTCCCGCCGGGGGTTGCATACAGCAGAAGCAGCGGCTGATATCTGCCCCTCCTGCATTTCTCCACCACTTGCTCCCAACGTGGACCAATCTCCTTCACGGTCGCATCGTCAAAGTAGATCCATACCTGAACCAGGACGAGAAAAAGGTAAATAAAATTCGAAAATTTGACGTGGCATATCCAAGGAACAAAGTGCTACTTGAAACACGATATAAACACTCGAGAGATTAATTTCTATGTAATTCGACGATGATCTACTTATCCGGGTAATTGAGGGATAAACGGTGTAATCTCTATGCAAACCTTGAGTTTAGTGTGGAAGAAGAAGGTGGAGTAGTGTTTCCCGTAATACGTAACGACTCCAACGAGATTATGCACGGTCGAGGCACCCCATCTAGAGTCCACCACGCTGTGGAAAACATCGCTCAATCTGAGGGACGTTCCCACGGTAGCGAAAACGTCCATGATATGCTCCAACGAAGGCCGTTCGCTATCCCATACGACTCCGACGGAAACGATTTCCGGTCGGTTCATCAGGGTCCGACATATTTGTATTTTCGCGCCGCAAGAGCTCTGCGAATCAAAAAAAAAAGTTCGTTTTAATATTTAATTATAATTTCGGAGGGTCGACGATTTCTGAACGAAGGAACCATTTAATTTTTCAGATTATTCGAATTTATCTCTGAATGAATCGTCTCCTTATTTTGAAGTTTTACTTTTTCTTTTCTTCAATTCTGCTGAATTTTTGATTAATTATTGGTCAATCATCGAATAGAACAAATATAATTGACTAGTAATTGTATAAATCGATAACGAGCAAGTATGTAATTATCTAACAATGTAATATGAAAATTAAGGATTGATCGATGTATAATTATTAAATTACTGATTTCTTAACACGTATATCATATGATCAAGGGCGATAATTATTTATTCTTTCCAGCTAATATAGAGAGGAGAATTTCTCGGTTGCAGATTATAACTGAATACTACAACACTTATGCGGTCGGCCAAATAGCCCGTGGGTGCTCGAACGATAATTATCGTTCCACTTCAAAGAGAAAGTTCGCGGGATATCATTTCCAAGAAAGGCCAAAGGAGAGTGTATCCGATCTTGTCGAATGAATCAAACCAGAATCACCGGAACTGCTTCGAAATGCAAACTTGTGAATCGTTCGCGGAGATTAAATATTTCACGGAGTTGTGTAAAGTGGAAGAAAGAAAGTAGGTATATTTATAAGTTAACTCACTGGACAATCTCTGATGTCGCCCATGCCTCCGGCTTTTCGAAGGAGCTGACCGAAAAGATCGGGACTGTTTCGAGAATTCGGTGGTGTTTGTCGAGCCTGCGACGTCAGTGCTGATGCTGATACGTAGTGAACCATCTGGAAATAAATTTAGATTTGTGAATATATGGGGAAACGAATAATTTATGGAAGAAAATTATAATCTATTAAATTATTTCTCTTGACTTTTCAATTTTTTTTAATATTTTATTTTTAATTAATTATGATTTACAGTCTACATTTGCGTTTTTTCTTCGTTAGATTAATAATTTTTCATTAATATGTATTAATTTCTTACAGGTAGAGGTTCCAGAAGAGGTTTAAGAAGATATCAAAGAAATTCATATATAATTTATCTTGCGTAATATTTTCAGAGAATTTTAAATTGCAATTTAACAAAAAAAAAAAAAGAAAAATAAAATTTCTCGTGCTCTCTCTTCGACTCGGAATAATAGTAGCCAGCTGGTAAAAGCGATCGGCCATGACCGATACCAGATTGCAACGAGTTTCGCGTTTTTATAATCGGCAGATACAAGCTCAGAGGGAGAACCAACTCCACCCACGTGAGTTGTTCCTGGACTGTGCTCGGTTATACCCAAGCTGCGCATTGATTATGCTCGAAAGGGCACTGCTTTTGTTCTTTACCCTGCGTTAGGAAACGTCCACTTTTCTTTTCAATTCTTCGAGATTCGACGAGATTGAGAAACACGTTAATTCGCTTTGCTTTGATATATTATCTCGAATAAGTACGAGATTTGAATGGTTTGAATAGGGATTCATTTTTTTTCTTCTTTCTTTTGCTTTTCAGAACTTTTTTAGAATGCTTGAAAAGGATTTTATTTAAAACATTCGTGTTGCAATTTTTATTAAAAAATCCTGAATTCTTAATAATATTTTAAGGAAATAAAAATTTCTGGGGAATTTTATAATTTCTAGGGGATTTCTAATTAGGTTTCTTCGTGATTTCTTTGTGATTTCGAATATATTATTAAATATTTAAGAAATAACGAATTCTTAGTAAATTTTGCTCTATTAAACTTTGCTCTAAATTTTAAAATCTTCGTAAAAATTTTATAACAGACAGAAAATTACAAGAATTTCTCGGAAGTTGGACCACGATTTTCGCAAAACAAAAAGCTATTTCTCGTGGAATGAATTAAAAAATTAATGAAAGGGAAAAATGAGATATACCCGATGAAAGTATAACGAGGTGTGAAGTTCCCAGAAAATTATATAATTTTATCATAGAAAAAGAGTAATTACGAAGTACCACGAGCGAAATACGACTTTCGTTATTGCATTTGTTCAGGACCCGTGGTTGGTTTTGGTTTTCGTATCGAAACTTTGCCACAAGTAATTCCATGTTGCTAACTAGAAATTTAATTAACTCTTCCATACACCGTGAGATATATATTCATTCCCACGATAAAGAAACGTGTCCGGCTCTTTTAATGTTCTTTGTTAGCTTATTTAATAGATTCATAAAAGTAATCGATAGAAAGTTTTTTTTTTTATCCAACATTAATAAATAACAATAATAATTTAATTATTTAATATCGCAGTATCAAAGAATATCTTTCTCTTTATATTTTCGTATAATTTGAAAGAAAAACAATTAGAATACGTTATCTTATATTCGTATAAAAGTAAATTCAAAAATTTTCTATTTTAAATTCTAAGGAAATATTAAAAAATATTATATAAAATTCATTTTATATTATATTCAAAAGTATATTCATAATATATTCAAAAAGATATTGCATTTGTATAATTACATTATGCAATACTTATTTCAATTGCAGTTGTACATTCAGGTCAACAATCAATAGAAATTATGCATTTCCTCATTCTTTACCCACTCTGTCGTATAACAGAAACAGTTTCACAAACACATTTCTCTATGCACGAGGAAATAAAAGTTAACCTGAATATATCGCGAACGAAAGCGAAAATCGTGAATATCACAGTATAAAACGCGAATCACAGAATCAGAGAGAGGAATAATCGAGAGTTTCACTTTTCTCGTCGAGGCGGAAATAATCAAACTCGTCGAACTAGGGCCAGTTTACCAGAAACGCGATAACATGTTGTTCTAGGTACACGTTCACAGTTTATTAAGTTTCTCGAAACTTGGTGTAAAAACAAATATTTCATAATTTTTTCTACTTTTGTTACTTCATTATAGAAATAATGATAACAATAAAAAGGAAAATTGAATTTCCGTAAAATTCTCTATTAATTAAAGAAATATTGATATTAAAGAATTGTTTAGTAGAATTTCAAGGAAACAAAATTCTAGGGAACCCTAGATTTTCTAATTTTATTATAATCTACAAACTCGTTTATTATTATACGAATTTAAAAATCAACTACTTGTCAACCCTTCAATAAGGATTAAATCAAGTCCCATTAGACGAACTCTAAGAAACTTCAGCAGATCCCCATTTCGAAGCAATTACAACCCCTCCGATTGGTCTCGGTGCCTATTACCAATTCCAACTTGGCTTCCCACACCCCCTCCAATCGTGTTTCGAGTTTATTGCGCGAAACAGTATCCCATCGACCCTCAAAATCCATCCTCTTCCATTCCTCTTCCATTCCTCTTCCATTCCTCTTGGTCGTTCGCGGCCAATGAGCCGTCAAATCCCGATCAGCTAATCCGTTTACACGACGCGACTCGATCGTTCAGTATCTAGGCTCGCTTGGGCTTCTCCCTTAAGTCGCTTAAATCGCTTAAACTCTGTCCCTCCTCGAAGGGCTAACTTTCGTTTACCTTCCTCGTTAACCCTCTTCGACTACCTGGACCACCCCCAAACGAGTCGATCTCACGAGAGGATACGAAAGAAAACTTTTACGAAATTTTACCTGAGATTCTCCTTCGTAGATCTCCGGATCTACCTGCTACAGACTACGTGAGAAAAGAAACGTTCGATGGCAAGGAAGTGATCGTGTGGACAGATGGATCGAATGGTCGGGGGGAAAAAAGAGGAAAGATAAACTATTCTCTGAATTCTCCTTGAAACGTAATGGAACGTTTCGCAAGAAACACGTTTTTCCTCGAGTTGCGCGCTATCGAGAGATTCTGTGTTGGATATGAATATAAGAGGAATAACGATAGATGGAATGTTTTTAAATACGATGGAATCTCAGAGACAAAGTGGAGGTAGAAAAAAAGAAAAGTTGACGACGAAAAAAATTGATTACAACTTGTAAATGACTGGAATGAAACGATGTTCTTGTGCTTATTGTTCAGTGATTCTTTTATCAGTTTTTGCTACTCGATTTTTTGGAATATGATTGATAAATGATGATATGAAAAAGTATTGTTTTACGTTGTTGTAAAAATAGTTGATAAGTTGAAATTGATCTTAAACAATTTGATGGCTGCGCCATTCTTGAACGTAATACGTTCAAACGGAACTCAAGATTTGTAAAATTTACTCGAGGAATTTACTTGCTTTTCTTCAATTCTCTATATATTGCATTGTACGTAAAATTCTCAATTAAATCAGGACACTCTTAATCAATTGTTATCAAAAGCTCAGTGGCAATTTATTCATCAGTTAGCCCGCAGGCCACGTCGATTAGAATTCCCTTTGACGAGAGAAGAACTCGTGGACCAGACTAACCTGTGTAAAAGGCAGAGGCTCTGAGGTGGCACCGCAAGCTCCGCAAACGCTTTGCTCGACCAATGTCATGGCGAACTTTTGATGGGGCACGCAGTGTCTGGCGCTGCACATGTCTTCCGCCTCCCCGCTGGCGATGTGAAGGTGTATACGCAGAAGAATGTTTTCCTGCAATAATATTCTTCCTTAATATATCTCCATTATTGTCGTGTTCGATGATACATCGCTAAAAATAAATAAGATCCTGATAATCGATTATGGTAATTCGAAAAAGAATGCTCGTCATGTAAAATGTGATTAATTTATTTCACTGTTTTATTGTTTCGTAAAGAAACTAATAATTATTTTTCAAAGAATATATCGATTGAATAATTTATTACTAAAAATCTAACGACACTTTTTATTGTTAAAGGTGTTTTGCAAAAATTGTAAGAGTAAGAGTTATAAGAGAATGATGTATTAATGAAAATCATCTATATATTCTCAATTATTATTGAGAATATTTAAAATATAAGATGGAGAATATAAAATGAATCAAAATTTGTGGATATATTTTTGATTGTGATAAAAAGCATATGCAACAAAGGATCGATAAAATTCCAAATGACAAAAGACACGAAGTTAAAAATAATGATTTCGAAGCGGGAAAAGCAATCATGCAAGCCCATGAGGTATTCGCGTAGAAACTCGTATATTATGATATTCTTTTCTCTGCCATCCTTCCAACCAGCGTTGCTGGAAGAAATATAAAGCGAGTCGTAAATTTATCCGAATGGCAGCAAGTCTTGAAACATAAGTATCCGGTCCGCTATTAGGAATTTAAAAATATATCCATCCACGTAACTAATGGAAGATAATAATGGAAGATATTATAATTGAAATTTATTCGATTCTAAATTTTAGAAACTTAGAGATATTGCATCGCAACGTACAGAAATTTCTTGTATCAAGATTGTAAAGCAACCTTTGATCATAGATAAATTAACTAAGAGATGTTAATACTGGAAACTAACAGCGTACGTTTGACAACTTTCAACTTGACGAAGAATACCACTGTCTTCTCAAAAATAGACGCATAAACGATATTTTCATCTTTATTATCGTACAATTATTTCGTTCTTTAAGCAACAGCTTGCATACCAGGACAATAATCTAAATCAGATACTAAACCTAAACTCAGCCTACCATAATCTACCATCCTTCCAATCAATCCAACGTTGGAATGGTGATAATATCCCAAGGCCAACGACACGAAATCCTCACTGCCACGATCGAATCGTTTAATTAGTCGCTGAAAGTAATCCAATCAGCATGCCCTGAAACGCTCTAGATACGCATGTCCCTGCGTTTATTACACTCGTGGACTGCATTCGTTATACATTCGTTTTACGTGGCCGACCGATGTCGACACACGCGCACACACACACACACACGCGTGCGCATGCGCATACGAAACGACACCCAATCTAAACGTGACTCCCGTGTAAACGAGAAAGTGAACAACCGGTGCGTATTCGCGCAGAGTCACCTAGCCGGCCACGCTCGGCTGAGGCAATCCGCGATACGCTCGGCCACTGAGAGCTGCAACTGAGAGGAAACGTGGAACTGGTTTTGCGCGATGGAATATTCAGGATCGTAAACCGCTCGGAAAATCGAAGGAAATCGCAACGCATTAGACGTCGTGAATGTCGAAACTGAGAGATTAATGCGATTGCGGCCAATAGTTGTAAGGGGGAGTGGATAATGGCCGATCATTCTTATGAATGGGCAAAAACAACTGGAAAAATGTACCACGAGCTCTGTTCGGGATTGGCAAGATTATGGAAGTGTATGATGAAATTTTTACAAGAAATTATAGAATAAATTGTTCTTGCATCTCGATGAAAATTATGGATATTTCGTGTACTGATTTATAAATGATTTTTTTTTCGTTTCGATCAGGGATACAAGATGCACATATTGAATGCAATGGAGATTAATGGATGATCGTAATTTTTGTCAAGAAGATGAAATTTAAGTTCATAATTGATATGACGTTAATAGTTTGCGAATATACTGGCAAATATATAATAGCCTCGGACGCATTCTATTTAATACTACATTTATTATGTTGCAACTCGTTCGTGATACCGTTACGCTACAATAAGCAACTCGATAAAACTGTCTTTCTCGACGTACATTGACATACATTACAATTTATTACTGAAGAAATTATTACTAAAGAAATGATATCGAAAATCACGAGGACTCATCAACCCTTCTGATTCTGATTCTAAAACTACAACCCAATCATGAATATATACTTTCCCTCATTCATCCTCTTTCATCCCTTTCATCTTCACAATCCACCTAATTAATCTTATAAATTTTCTGAAAAAAAAATGGACTCCTTTTGACTCAAAATTGGATTTCAAAATTGGACTCAAAGAATTTTCAACCGTGATCTCATTTATTATTCTTCCACTCATAAAAGACAAATTCTGTACACCGTTCAACAAGAAATCTACCAACTTCGTGTATACGATTCATTTATATATATATAATATAACGATACATCGGTGCGTTGGAAAAGACTTAATAGGCGAAAAGAAACTAGGCAAACTAGCCACTTACGAAACATTCCGCCGCGTCGTCCATGAATCCAAGCTGGAATCTTTGCTGATCGAGAAAACTCTCGGCGAGAGCACGGCGCAGCGTGTCAGGAGGCAACGCGCTCTCTTGCGAAAACTGCAGCTGGGAGAAAAGGTCCTGCAACAGACAAGGTGACGAACGAATTACTTAAATGGTAAATGAAAAATAAAGGGAGGCTTGTTGGAGAGGGCGGCTTTTGTTGCGTTGGAGGGAACACGCTCGAGGAATTGTTTAAAGCGTTCGGTTGATTAATGGCTTATCTCAAGAGGCCTTTCGTTCGCCGTGATATTATGCGGCGCGGGCTTAACGAGTCGTTGTTGCTATTGTTGCATTTGAAAAGAATTATTTTACGGTCAATCGTGCATTTCACGGTTCTTGCGTCGAAGTGGCTCAAGGTAAATCTGTTTTGTTTTGAAGAATTTTTGTCACACGTAGTATTATTGAGATTGATGCACTTGTTGTTGATGGAAAATTCGAATTCGATTTTTTTTTTCTTTTGTTGAATGGGTATGCAATTACGAACAAATTTTTTATCTTTACAAATTAGATAAACGAAGAAATGTAAAAAGAAAAAAGAAAAATTGAAGCAAACAAGATGACAAGAGATATTAAAAAGATGTTGTACGATAAGGCACGTCAATCGTGTTGCAATTTTTGCTTAATTGCATTGATAAACGTTTTCCTTTTTACGTTTGCTATGTATATATATATGATAAGCCTGAAGATGAGTTCGGTTGCTAATAACTCGAGTATTCAATTCAACGCTGGTGACATAGCGTTAAACGATGAAACGTTTTGATGAATAAGGGTATTTGAGGTCTATATGCGATCGTTTCGTGAACAGAATAGGATACGAGAAGCGCGAGTGCACGTGTCGCAAAGACTGTGTAAATATCTCTGTTTGTAGGACACACGTATCGCGTTACCGATGCAAAAGATGCAGTGGCCACGAGGCATGAAGATATATTGTGTAATATCGTATGAAACTTCTCGAGCATTGGATAACAATTACCATATAAATGTCATAAAAATATGAATTGCATTGTGCAATATTATTTATCAAATTTATACAAATACATAATATATATATTTCAGAATTATTTTAATTTTAAATATTAATTCACAATAAATATTTTTTTTATACAATTTTTCATTATTTTTCAGAGGATTTAAACTTGAAACATAATAATTAATAAAAAATTAATCTTCGAAAATAATTTTTTATAAGAAGCAAATTTTGTCAAAGAAATAAATTTTCCGCCTTTTGGTAGCCGGATAAAAGAGAGGTTTCTTCGTATAATTTATTCATGAATTCGAACTCGAAATTTCCATATTGAAGTGATCCTGTTTTGGGCGACAGGTACTTTTCACCTTTCTTGAACCTTTCATTTCCATACAACCTTACGATACATTTGTAAATGTCAAACAATTCTATTCAACTCATTCAAACTGTATCGATTCATTATTCTAACAAATATATTTTAATAAAATTCTTCAAAACTCGCTGAAATTACCTCGAAAAACCTAAAACACTGAAAGATATTACTTCATTCGTTAAATATTCAATTTACAAATAAACATAAATATTGTATATCAGGAAGAAAGAGATAATTACTATCAACAAGTTTCCTTAAGAAAAAATTAATAACAATAGATAGATAATAATTTATTTACACACCGAAATAATCAAAAGACACGTCACAGTTCCACCGATAAGTCACGACCAAAAGCGGAATTAACGAAAATCTCGAGGAGCCGAGTTGCTCGGCCGCGTATCAAGCGCCGAATGGATGCAAAAGGAAACTCATAACGCCCACGTACTCTCAATTTCCCGTTACGTAAACGTATGCAAATCCAGCCTATGTAAATGGGATCGGCAACCCGAACGAAATCCTCCTTTTAAACGTTTTCTTTCTCTCTAATCAGCATAACAGAGCGGCATGAACGATTTCGAAACTCGATTCCCTCCTCCTCCTCCTCCTTCGATCGTGGAAAATACGTCGAAAATTTCGATCCATCCGTCTCGAAGATGCGTTTTCGAAAAAAGGTTGGTGCAAAAAAAAAAAAAATCCACGAAAAAAAGAAAGAGTTGTACGAGTAAACGAGTTTAGTTTCGCAAGTAAACGGTGGCCACGCGTAGAAAGTCGGCGGCACGTACCGCTTCGGGCTGCTTGCTCAACGCGTGCACCATTTCGAGGCGCAGCGACGAGAAAAAATGTTAACGAAGAGGAGGAAAAAATGGGATACGAGTTGCGAGGAGAGGAGAAGGAGCGAATGACGTGTTTGGATCTATCGATCGGTCGATTTGGAAATTTTTCGAGGGGAAAAAACGTTTGATGATGAAACGAATGATACGAGTGCAATTTTTATATCGACGGCAGAGAATAAATTAAAATTTTGCATATTTTATGTGCGATACAGTTGTATTATCTTGGAAAATTTAATTTATTAGAATAATTGAAACGTTAAAAATTACTTTGTTCGATAGGAAAGAGTAAAATTATAACTATAAGGAAATGTGCAAAATAATCTGTATAAAGAAAATCGATGCACGAATTATGGAATCGAAAGAACCACCAAGTAATGGTTATTGGTGAAATTTTTCAATGAAAGTCGTTCGATGAGGTATCGAATACCGCGAGGAGAAACGGCTCTGCTCGGTTGATGTTAAGACGACGATGGTCTTTGTCCACGTGCGTCGAGAAGGATGTCGCACCTGTTGGAAGCAGGTTGGCCTCGTATCGAAAAAAAACCAATCCACTGGTTGGAACTACGTGCTATCGTGAAATCGATGAATGAAAGCGACCATGAAAATTCCAAGATTTATTACAACGCCATATACTAACTCTATTTCTCTGGACTTCTGGAAATCATTGTTATGATGTTATTTCATTGATAGAATTAAGAAATAGAAAAATTTTGAAGAATTTTTATCTATTAAAATTATTACGTGAATTGGAAAGTGACAAATATTTTTTTTTCAAAAGTAAAGCAAAGTAAATAAAGAAATAAATTCATCATTTAATATTAAAACTCGATGAAGAAACCATACCTGCGTCTAATAACAAGTCAGAAAGTCAGAATCACGAAGGAAATCCGTTCGAATACCGTATAAGAAATCGACCACTAATGACACTTTAAAGATGGGCCATGTGTTATTGCTCCAAGTGCCTTCGCGCACAGAGCCACTAATTTCTTATCTTTCCAAGCTTAATGCGTTTTGAAGAATGTCAACGACGTTTCACAGGAAAAGAGAGACGTGTCCATTAACTTTCTTAAGTATATGCAAAAAAAAAGTTCAATCAGGATTGCAAGAAGTTACGTAACAACATTTCTAAAGCATATACATTCGTAGATATAAATTTTCATATTCGTACGATCTATTGTAAAACTTTTGCTGTTAAAATTTTTATATTTTTCTTTTTTTTCTTTTTATATAGATATAATGATGAAACTACAGGCCTAAGCATACTTTTCGTAGATCGTTCAACTCGATGTTGGACGGTGTGTCCTCTCTTTCCATGCCACTGTCCTCCTCCTCCTCTTTCACCGCTTCTTCAACTTCGACCTTTGCCACCATCTCGTCCTTCTTTTCGTGGTTGAGCGTCGTCGTCGTCGGCGTCGCCGACGCATCCTGCCTCACTTTTATCCACTTCAACATTTTCTTCTCTCTGATTGTAAACTACGAGTATATTCGTTTCATCTTCTCCGAGTCCATCCCCTATCGTTTCCACAAGTGAGCCATACTTAGAAATCCTTTCCTAGATTTTTTTTTGAATTAAAATAACATTTTTTTCTGGATAAACTTGCTCGGTCCATAAGATAACGCGTTTCATTTTATGAAACCACTTATTTACAAGTTCAACAAAAATTTCCATTCACTTTTTTTTTTTTTTATTTTTTATTTTAAGAAGAAGGAAAGGAAAAGAAAGTATTTCTTTTTTTCTACATTCTTCCGAAAAAGAAAATCCAAAAAATAATTTCTTGAGATTATTATTTTCTTTAATGACAAAATATTTCGTGCACAAACAGACACACACGATGAACAAAATTTTTCTCAAAATTCACGAGATTACGAGCACAAAAGATTACACAAACGTGGAAAGTCGTTCAAAGTAAAATTATTGCGTTTTGAAATCGAGATAAGAGCAGCGGTCGAGGCGAGCGACACGGTCTCTACGACTGGTCCCGAGCAAATACAAATTCTCACTCGGCTAGGCTGCTCTCTCTGATCCTCCCGTGGAGAGATAGTTCTGTTTGCAATGTCTACACGCGCGATTCGTTAGCCCTCTCCAAGCTTGATCCACTTGCTGCACTTGCCACGCAGGACTTTTTTCCTTTCGCGTCCTTTGTCATCATTTTTTTTTTCCTTTTTTTACTCTGATAACGCCTTATAACCCCTCTGTTTAACCCGCACTCTTCTAATATTAGTCCAAAGTAAATAAGACATTCAAATTTTATTTTTTGACCATTATCTAGTACATCTTATCAATAGCTCTCATTTAAGATTGTTGCAAAATCAATTCCTTCCGAATCAACATCAATTTATCGGAATAGTTGAAATTATATCAGATAGAAAATATTCGAGTTCGTCCAAGGTTTCATGGAAGGAAAAAAAAAGAAACGCGTGTACGGAAACAGGTGGCCAAGCGCTGAAAGAGGCCCCGGCAGATGATCCCTTTGCAAACATATATCGAGGATTCGTATCCAGCAATTGCATGCCGGATGTACCGAGAGAGAACCCGTTGCCAGACGAGTCGTAGACTCGATTAAAAACATAAACTCGTTTGGCAAGTGAAGTCACCTCTTCGATCTACGAGCCAAGTGATCTTTCACGGCAACCTGGATAAACGCTGTGAGCCCTCTCCTTTCCTCCATCGTCGATGCTGGGAATCCTCGATAAAAATATTCCTCTGGGGAGGGAGGGGAGGAGCAGGAAAAGATCTCCAGATAAACTCCTTCTTCTCGATGAACAGTTAGACAGATGTTTTAATTATTATATGCGTTTTTTCATTGAACTCCCCGGGAAATTCTCCCCACCGTTATTGTGAATTGGTGTGATCAGGAAGCGTTTAAAAGTATTCCCCGATCGGTAAAAGGAAACCCTCTCTTCTTCC